GATGGTGGCTCTGCTGAGGGGTACACCCAGCCACTGCTGCACTTCTGCGTGGCGTTCAGGCCGTGTGCCACGATGGAGTCCAGGTCCCAGTCCACCGGGGAGTACATGGAGCACTGCTCGTACTCCCCGTCCGCATCCCGGGGCAGGGTGAGGTTCAGCTGCTCTTCCTGCGTCAGGTTGGGGCCGACGGCGAGGATCCAGCTGGTGTCACAGTGGTGGGGCACATCCACAACCATGAACACTTGGCCAACCATTTGGAAAGGATTAAGAAGGAGCGGGAGGGCGAGGAGCAGTATCAGCAGCTTCTGGTATAGCCCAAACTCCCCCAGAGCACTTATGACATCTCCAAACTCAGCCATGGTGATTACCTCTCTGGCCAGGCTGTGCTAGTGCATATGGCTTAAATAGGCAAATATTAATGTTTAAACTTGTCAGCACTAAACCCCTTATCCAGTGTGATAAAACAAGCACCTGTACCTGCATGTTCATAATTATGATGATATGGTGCTGTCCTCCAGGGCGTACTTTATCACCAGCCGTTCCCTTCCCGTTCTTTGCTCGGGAACAGAACAAAGAGCATTGCCACTCTTTGAGACAGCGTGGCAACAGCTTGTCTTTTTCCAGCCTGTAATTTCTCACAAGGCCTCCTGAAAGCAACTGTGCTGCAGTGCAAGGTTTTTGTCTGAGACATGAAGTTGTGACCCTACAATAGAGGGGTAGTTTTCCTGAGTGGGGTGAAACCATTCATGGTTATATAACCCATCCTGGAGACTATAGGAAAGGGAAGCAGAAAACCACTTCTCCTCTGGACCAGGAAATATGGCTGGTAGTCAAGTAGACTTGGCCTTGACAGCTGTGTCCCAAGCTGTCTGTTTTAATTTGCCCCGTGTAGAAATCCGGGTTAGTCATAAAACTAGACCTAAACTGCAGTGTCTTGGGGAGAATCCTAAAATAGGTTTGGCTCAGAGAGTACCCTTAGGGAAAACAGCACGTTACACACACAGACACACAGAGCACACAGGATCTGGGAGACCACACCAGCTTGGCTTTGCCTGAGGTTCTGATGTCACTTGAAAAGCAGATTGACCTGATTTCTGCTGCGCATCTGAGTCGCTTCCTGGGCAAACTCCCCGAGTGGTTTGTATCTTTATTCCTGCAAACTGGATAGCTGGATTGCACCCAGTGTATGAAATTTGGTGTTTACTTTGGAAAGCTCTCCTGGCTGCTTTCACCAGAGCAATAAGGACAGGTCACTGACCTGCTCACTTCAAGTCTCCTCTCAAATTCTTTGTCCTTCCCTCTCAATGCAGACAGCACGTATGAGCCTCCAGCAAAGTTACTGAGGGGTCACACAAGCCTAGATTGGTGTTTCATGCCTGGGAATGGCATTGTTGTGCTTATGGAAGTGGGAAGAGGGGTAGAATATTGGATTTTAAAGCATGATCTCTCACCAGGAGAGGGAGTGTGAGATCATACTGGTTAGTGTTATTAGTGAAGGAAGGGAAGAGTAAATGCTACTTCTAAAGTTGTGTAAATTCACAGCAGTGGTGTTTGTGTATCATCTGCACACACCACACTGGGCTCTGGATCCACATCCCTGAGTGAGAGGGCTTGTTATTTTTCAGAGACACCCTTTGAACTGGAGTTTGAGCTACACAACCTTCAGAAATTCCTTTTGTCCTGAATCCACCTCTGACCTTTCTGTGGGATGACTTAGCCAGGGATATCTGCTCTGGTAGATGCATTTTGACCCTGCCCTCCTGAACAGGGAGCAGGTGCCTTCTCCATCAGTGTGCAACAAGCTGAAGTTTTCAAGCTTACCCTGTTATGTGTGGCTCACAGTGTCCCCTCCCATTCCTCAGCCACCAGCATCTCCTGTGTCAAAGAGGTCAGATCTTGCCTATAAAAACTCCTTGAGGGGGATCCAGACTTGAATGCAGCCTCATGTGCTAATGCAAATGTGACTCCTTAAGGCTGTTCTTCCCAACATCACCAGTCAGGCACTTCTGAACCCCTGGGAGAGCTTCAGGCCCTTGTAAACTCTGTCACTCTCAGGTGACATTTCTCATAGAAAGACATTGTTCTCATCATCTGGGACCAAGTGGGTCAATCCCTACGTGGTGGAGATCTCTCAGGGGCAAAGGCTGGAGCAGCCCTGCAAACCTCTGCTTCCCGGAGCCCCACTGTGCGGGATTCTGTGCTTATTTCTCTGTGTTCAGCAGTGTTGCCCATGTGCATTACTAAGACTTGCAAAGCCTCTTAAAAATGGAGAAGCCTCTACCAGAGGTACCATGAGAAACCAGCAAGTCTCAGGGAAAACCTGGGATGTGAATTTGGAAAACCTGTATGTCCATGTCAAGGACTAGGGACAGGGAGGGGGACCATCCAAGGAAGTAGTTCAGAAAGAGAAACCACTGCCTGGGGAGGAAGCCTGGTGCAGGCAGTAAGGCATTGATGCACTAATTCATGGACTTGTCTTTTCCCTTACACAGCTCTGAACATCAGGAGTGACTGCAGTTGGAGACTCATTTGGACACCTATGTTGGGGTGAATTCTAGCCAGAACGGATTCATACCCACCACCTGTGGTGCTCCTGCATTTTCCCTCTTCTGCTTAGAGCTGTCAGGGAGAGATCAGGTTTATGGGTGTAACCTGGCAGTGACAACTTGGTCTGGGCATCACTCTGAGCATCTTTTGCACAGGCACCAGGGCCACCCACTCCCCACTGCTCCAGTGGAAGGTGCTTGATCTCTGCAAACCTCTCCATCTCTAAGCACAGCTTGACCAGGTTTCAGGCAGGGCTGTGAGATGGCAGTGCCTCTATCCCAAACCTCTTGCCCCATCCTAAGGTGAGACCAACTTCAGCATCTAACAATTCATCTTAACTTTCAAGGACATCCCTCTTTTCCCTGATCCGTGTTGATCGAGCAGTGTCCCTGCTCAGAGCACTGACACTGCTTTGCAGCAGATGCACTCATTAAGCAGCTTTATTCCTCCAGCAGACCTGACAGAGACGGGGTTATTCTGGCACTGGTGAGGCAGGAAAGGTTGGGGTTTTTTTTATTATCTTTATTTTAAAAATTAATCATTTTAACACCTTTTTTTTTTTTTTTTTTTTACAGAGAGCTGATTAAAACATGTGCAATCCTATGATCTATGACCCTTTCCGTAAGGCACGTGTTCTCTCTTTGACTCTCTGAGGTTTCTCATGAGCTTATTTATGATTAATATGATTGTTAACCTCTCTAACATTTATGTTATGTAATATTTATGCAAAGGGCAGTCGGGAGGATCAGAGTGCAATCACACAGGAACAGCAGATGTAGCAATCTCCCCACACCCCAAGGCTTCAAGACACCTGGGTTCCTTTTCCTCCTCTGCCCCTCTAATCTTGGCAAGGTCATTTCACTTATCTTTGCACATCACTGTACAACGAGGCTGATGGTGGTGACCTCTTGTGTGGAGCAACTTTGCAGTTTATAAAAGGAAAAATGCAGTGTGGGGGGGTGAGATATCCTCATAATTAAGTGTAGGCAAGTCACATGGTGAAAAGGTGTACGATGTTTTGGGTTGGATTCATCTCTGGATGTCTCAGTGTAGTTGTCTATGTGTGAAACAGACCCCTAAGGCTGCACTGTGGTGAGTGGAGATGGATTGACACAGTTCACAGAGTCCAGAGGGCTGATCCCTTTAAGTGCAGTTCTCTGGTTTAGGGTGGGCTGAATCACTCCCCAGACTGTACTTGCTAATTCTCCATTGACTCTGATGTGGGCTTAAGTATCTGCTTTACCTTGAAATGTTAATACTGCAGACACCTAAACCTAAACTTTCATCTTGTCCTGCTCAGCTTTGCCTTTGCCCACTGCATTTTACTTGTACACTTGTGGCCAAGGATTCAGTTCCTTCCTGAGACATTATCTCTTCTCGTTCGAGTTTCTAGTTCTTATTGGCTTCTTGTTCATGGCTGTGTGCTGGTTGGACCTTTTTGGTTCTCTATCTTCCCTCCTCCATGCAGAAATCCCTTGAGGGACCTTGGCAGCAGCAGATCCCCTCTGCAGAAGCCCCCTGGCTGCAGAGAACAGGGGGTGCTGGTTGGTCTCTACTTGGAGGTTCCTCACACTGAACCCAGTTCTTGCAATGTTCTTTTTTGGGAACTGACCACTGACTCCCTCTGGCCAGGACAGAGAACTTAAATTTAGCTCCTTAAGGCATTAATAAATCAGTCTGTGCACAACTGAATTTGTCTTGTGCCAGAGGAGTGGGGCATTTCTAAACTGATTTCATTAATTTCTTTTGGTCCCATATCAGCCAACTTGTGCTGCAGGGCTGGGTGCTTTTCACCCTTTTTTTTCAACTATATAAAGAACTCCTTCTCTGAAAGGTCATCATTTAACTCATCCAAGTCCTCAGAAGAGAGACTTGCATAATCTTCTTCAACTCCTGATGTTTTTCTGCTCCTGTTCATTTTTTCAGGAGCCTCCTGGCCTGGATCAAAGACATCCTGATTAAAGGTTTCACAAACATGGCTGCTGAACACACATGTTAAGGGAAAATTGTCTTCCTGTGTAGAGAGATGCTTGTTTCTTGAGTCTTCAGCACTGAGACCCAATCCAAACATTTCTTCTGCTGCCTTTGGAGCCTGGTACTGTGGATCCAGCTGCTGCAGCATTGTACAGCTCTGAATCCCTTCCAGGTCTCTAATATTAATCTCATCCTGACCATCAAGAAGTGAGAGACTGGAGGTGTCCCACAGCTCCAGTGGGGCATTTGTTTCTGCCGGGATTTCCTGGAATAATTCTGAAGTATTTGGATCAAAGAAAGGTGTATTTTCTGCCTCTGAGTTTTGCAAGTCTGAATTTAGGGTTTTACTTGCTGTGCTGGGAAAATCTTGTCCTCCAGAAAAGAACAAGTTGTTGTCCTCCAGAAAACCCATGTTGCCGAAATGCAGCTCAGCTTTCTTGGATAACTTTTCTGAATTGCCTGGTGAAAAAAGTATCCCATCTTCTATCACTGTGTCTTGGACATCCAAACTCAACAGGTTCTGGGCTTCTAGTGGATGAGCACCATGATGATTTCCTACCCTGGTGAGATTTTTGCTGTTGCCAGCAGCAGGAGCAAGCTCTGGAGGAGGATGTAGAGGGTTTGCTCTACCTTCTGAGGTTTCTGCAGCTTGTTTCTGATCTTCCTGTGCTGTTACGAGAGGGGGCCAAGAGCTGTCCCATTGCTGCCAAACCTGGCTATTTAAAGACAGTTGGTCATGAATGTCAAGTTCAGTTTTCTCGTGTTTATCATCATGTGACAGGCTTGTGCCAGGAGCTAACAATAGGATGTCCGTCTCCTTGCCCTCAGCAGAGTCTGAGAAACCTCCAGAGCTCTCCTGGATGTTTTTAGGGAAGACCTCCATCTTTCCTGGCTGCAGCAGCTGATCATTCCTGGAGGCCTTTTGTTTTGCTTGGCTGGAGGAGCTGAGGAGGCTCTGGGGCTTTTCTGGCCCGTCACCAATATTTGTTTTTTCTGAGGATCCTGCAGGTTTTTCTGGTGGGCTCTGCTTCTTC